GATGTTTTGACAATTCAACAGCAACCACTGTCTTTCCTCCCTTTGCAGGAGGAAAACCCATCTTTTCCAACTCCACTTCCAGCGCTCGGGTTTTTTTATCTCTGTAGGGAATAAAGCCCTGTAACTCTGCAGACACGTCTAATGATTTGTTTGGAATTGTATGCACATATAATTTTAGATGACACCTCATCCTCCCTGTAGAGTTTAAATGCACTCATTGCAAGTCACTTTGGACAAAACTGTCTGCCAAATAAATGTACTGCACAGTGTAATGAGCAGCCCTTAAAATAGAGTTGTTTTTTTGTGTATTGTCAACAGTAGTCAAGTTTCTTAGCGGTAATTAAGGCAAGCTGTCACAATTCTGGATACACTGTAAAAACAGACTACAAAACACTCAGTTTTTCTAACGTTTTCTTGTAAATTATTATCAGTATGCAAAATCTGAAAACGTGTCTATTTGGTGTGCAGCTGCCCTTTTGGTGGAAACAATGTGCCGTTTGACAACTAATTTGTTATTCATGTTCCAAAAATACGACACAATAAATAATTGAAAAGAAGATAAGGTCAAACAGATGCAAATGATACGTTATTAACCCTCTTACACATTCACAGAGTGCCTATTAAACAGATTAATACACACAACATCAGCAACACAGGTGTTACTGTGGCATTTATCCTCTTTATGCTGTTTGGCAGTCGCTCTTATTTCCATTTATCATTCAAACAAATAGAGTTATGAAAGTACACCGGATTTGAAAACCATGACGGATGAATGAACCACCTGTGTGTGTGTGTGTGTGTGTTTCAACACCTGTGTATGCGTGTGTGTACGCAGATGTCTGTGTGCATTGTGTGTCTGTTTATGGGACGGTGTGAGTTGTCATTGGAATAAATACGGAGCGATTTGCATATTAAGTGATTTGTCAGAGAAGTGTGGATGGGTGATAAAGTAAGTATTAGAATCCTGTTGGCTCATATTCATCGGGATTTGTCATTGTTTCCTCTTCTCCTCCTCCTCCATTGTAATTTTTTCCCTCTCTTCTGCAGGCTGTTCATTTTATGACCCAGATTTTCTTTTTTCTCCCTGCTTTCTCTTTCTCAAAACTTTATTTCCTATCACAGGATGTCCCTCCTCCTCTGAAAGCAATTCAATTTGTTCTCCCATTATGTGTCTGTGCTGTAAATAAGTCATTGGCAATTCTTCTACTTCTGTACGGTCGGCCTGGTTTGGACAGTTTGAGCAGCCCCTGTTTGTGTTGCTGAAGGACAGCCGGCTGTAAGCAGAGAGCTGTCCGTAGTGAAGGATGTAGGAAGTGTGGGTGGATGACTCACAAGTTAATATGCACTTTTCATGTCTGGCGATACATTAAGTTAAGACCACAAACGTGACGTCAAAATCACATTATGACACAGAAGAGATTGATTATGGGAAGCAAACCCAGACATCACACAACGTAGCTTTACGGGACCAAAACGGAAAATAAGTCTTACCTTTGCTGTTTTCAGACCAAAAGTTGTGTTCAATGTCATTAAAACGCTACTGAAGGTTAATCCAATGTCTCTGTGTCACTTTGAAGTGATTACTGATAATCCATTAATTCAATTTGTCAAAAACTGAGATTTCATATTAGCACTATGAGAGCTACAACCCAGCTTCCGGTTTTGGGCATTCTGGCTACACATCACTCATTCACCAATGGGTAATGTTTAGATGGATTTGAGGAACTTCCCCTCGATTCTATTAGCCCTAATGGTTCAAAAGAGATGTCAATCATCAAAATCGACCGAGGAGGGCCAGAGATATGGAAAATGCACATTTTTTTGCTCAGGGCTCATTTAGACGCTTCTTGTGAGACTTGACTTGCTGAGTTTCTTCCCGTTAAGTAAAGGGAGGGAATCCTCATGACACGCATTTAAAATTTTTTATCATCCGATAAAACAGACCAGTCTCTGCCAGTCTTTTTTTTTAAATGTTTTATCCGATGACGTTATCAGTGATTTTAAGCTGATTAATTACCGAAATAACATCAACCCTGTGGGCGGCGCCATTTTGACGAGTCACATGACTTATTTTACCGGACGTGATGTGAACTATGCCTTTGGTGTCGAGGACAAATTGACGTATGTGCTTTGTTCATGTTGTTTACTGTAGTTACTCTCACAATTATATTTAAATATGCCTCTGTGGTGACACCATATTGGGGACCATAATTCAGCTTGTTTGTGTTGTTGCTACAGGGACCCTTTATGGGAAACACCGGTAGCGTTAGCTAGTCATTCCTGCTAGCTTGTCAATGAGAGCAGTTCNAGTCTTACATATCTAACAGAAAACAGTGTGTTTGGTCAACGGTGCCAAATCGCCCTACCTTGTGAACCCTGTTGGGGTTCCACAAGGTTCCATTCTTGGACCATTCCAAGAATGGAACCTTGTGGAACCCCAACAGGGTTCACAAGGTAGGGCGATTTGGCACCGTTGACCAAACACACTGTTTTCTGTTAGATATGTAAGACTTCAATGTATCGAAACTGCCGAAAAATGAGTCAGCTTTGTAAGGAGCACTTGGTGGTCAACAGTGTCAAAAGCCTTCCTGAGATCAAGGAAGACGGCACCTACTGTACATGTTGGCTCGTGTCCAACATACATTTAACCTTTTCCAAAGACACAGTTAGCTGTCTCAGATTAGTTTTGACACCCATTTCTCAGCTATCTTAGAGACACAGGGGAGGATGCTGATTGGTCTGTAATGGGACATCATTGCCTTATCGCCAGATTTAAAGATCGGTGTCACCGTGGCCACCTTCCAGGATGATGGAACTTCCCTCGTGCTAATAGATGGATTCACTAACATAGTAATTGGTTTTATTAGACTGTCGATATGTGTTTTTATAAAGTTGGTGTCTAAATCATCTGCAACCCTAGCCTTAGAACCTCTTACCCCTAAGATTATATTTTTTACCTCCACCTCTGTGGTTTCCTCCAGGTCAAAAACGGGGTGTGTATCCACAGTCGGGTTAGGTGACTGTCAGTGGATAGTCTGGATTTCAAGCTCTGCTTTAGAAGTTGGTCTCTAGATTTCATAAAATTCCTGCATTGTAGATTCAGCCAGGGAAGATGATGTTCCTTCCTGTCCCTAAGGCACCCTCTCCTTGAGAAGGAAGACATTGTATCATTAATTTGAGATATAAACAGATCACTGTTTTCACCAATATCTCCAGAGGACAGTCCCCCCAATCAATCATTTTCACTGCATCCATAAAACGTTGTTGGAGATGTTTGGGGATGAAGCGAGAACCCAAGGCAGGAGTTTTAGGTGTGGCCATGAACCTTTTTTTTCTGAGTTTCCTGGTAAAAATAATTACATTATGGTCAGAAAGACCAGTCAGGAAGTTGTAGGTTTTAAACTGTTTGCAAACATATCAATCATTTTCATGGACAATACATCACAGTTTATCATTTTACGCCGAGACATGCTGCAGCTGCTCAAATGCCATTATTTCCAAAACTCACTCACTGCAGATTTAAGTAAAACAGGAGATAGAGGAAGTGACAGAACATTTATTTAAGGATGAATGTGTACATGGTATTGCATTAGTCATATTTGTTTGCTGTGATGCTGTTTTCAAGCAGCCGTGAGGTCAGACTTCAACCGCGTCAAATATCCCATTATGTGTAAATGTTTATTCCCGGTATATAACTTTGATGTGACAGGAAGGATATTGTCTTTATTTAGTTGTGCTATCTGGATAGCTCAGAGTTTCCACCATGAGGTTTTTTAAGAACATGGTAAGAATATTATTTGTAAACCCTGGAGGGTGGTTGCTATCCAATTTGTGGGAAAAGGACGCCACTAGCTGTTCAGTTTTTGTCACTGCAATCATAATCAGAAACAGGTTTATTACCAGGTAGGTATGTCATGGTGCACACATAAAAGTAAAACAAAAATTAAAAACACAGGTGGAGAACTATTTTAAGAAAACTATAATAACATTAAAAAATACTTAAAATAAAAAAAGATATAGTAAAATATAGCAGTATTTACATAGAAATAGAATGGAATAAAATATGGAATAAAATTCGGCAGTAATAAAAAAAGAAAACAAGGCGAAATGTATTACATATTACTTCAAGGATTCCAAGGTGTTATGGTCATATGCACAAAGCTACAGTGTATAAATGGCAATGAAATTATTCTGACCTGAGGTCCTCCAAAAATGCAACATATATAATAAAATACAAAAATACAAAATTGTGCAAAAAGTCTATAAGTCAATAGAACTTACTTCAACTTCAACTATGGCTTGTTAGAACAACAGCAACCTTTAGTAGAGATGGTTTTAATTAAACATATAAACGGAATCTTAAACTGCCCAACCGTTGGAACGAAAAGCTGAAACAAGTATTCGCTTCATACAAATTAATTGGTCAATATTTTGACATCTTTTGTATTATTTTTGTTATAAATGCGTTCAAGATCCAGTGAAAAAAATGCAGATTTTTTTGGGACAGAATTTCTCTCTAAATTACTGTTTTTACAAAAACAAACAATCAATAAATGAAAGAAATATCTAAAATCATTCATAACAAAACATATTAGTTAATAGTTATAAAGGTCATCCTCAAACAATTACCACAATAAAACCCTGCTTTTACATCTAATTATGATAACAAACTTGTGATAAGATAAAGGCTATAATGTATAAATCACAGGGGATATTTGTAGTACTTTAAATACCGTTCATGTTCCTGATCACAAAAGTTTAATGTCCGACAACACAATATATGAAAATAAACATTTTGAAATCGATCTCATTATGTTCTTATAAATGTACATTTGCTTAATTCAAACGTTAAAACGAGCGTACAATTACCTTCCAAGAACTAAACTAAAAGCTAGTAAAATGTCCGTGATTAAAATGAAGTATCAGATTTTGTTTTAAATACCGGAAGTGACGTCACCGGAGCGGATTGAGGATCACGTGACGAAGCCTGCCCGCTGCAGTCAGCTGATAGAAATCGGCAGTTGTCGACAACAAGTCTGAACTGCTCAGTCATTGTTGTGTCTCTGCGTTTCTGATTCTTCCCACTGTTACAATGAAGATGTTATTGCTGTGTGTGTTCGCTGCCTTAGCCCTGACCAACGACGCGCTTGTTCGGTAAGAAAGTAAAATTGTTATATATCACTCGTACAAGTATTTTTAAGTCAAGGTTTATGGGATTTCATGTGAGCTAACGTGCAACCTACACAATTTCAACTCGTATTACCTAACGTTTCACGACAGAAAATTGTCTGTTTGCACATTTTACACCTGACATATATATATATATAATGTAGAAGTTTGGTGTGTTAGCTTACAGATTCTGTTAGCTAGTTTCTATCTCGTCTGTCTCTCTGTGATCCTGTGCTCAGCAGAGGACAGCGTGTGACTTCTAAACCTGTTCAGTGTTGCTTGCTGTGAACTATCACCTCTCTGTAGGCTGATCATAGAGAGGCTTCCAGAAACCAGTTCATCATACTGGTGGAGTAACCTTATATGCAATTTGAGAGTATTCGTTTGTTTTACTTAACCAGCAGCCTATATATGTTTAGCATTGTTTGCAAGGGGTTTGGCCCACTTTTTCTGGTGGGTACTCAGGACTAATAAGGCTGTCTTCGAGAATAGAAATGATTAGTCGACTTAAGACCATATCCCTTTGTCGACTAATCAATTAGTTGAATGAATCGCCTGATCTGTAAAACGGATTTTCTCCACAAAGCATCAAGGAAGTATAGAGCTGAACCATTATTCAATGTTTTATGGAAATAGCCAAATGAACCTCGCCTTAAAATCGTATTTTATAGACTATAGATAGAGAAAGCTTTGTTTGGTACCTATCCCTGCAAAAATACAATAATTAGAATGTTATTCTTAATACAATCTAATCGTGTTTGCAAAAGCTTTTACTACCGTCAATAAAGGAAATCACATTGCAATTGCAACATCAGTGCTCATTATCTTCTTTCTAAAATAAGTTACTAGGCATGAATACAACAAATGTAATACAGAAATATTTGTGTAGAGATAGAGTGCTGGACTTCGAATCAGAGGGTAGCAAGTTTGAGTCCCACTGCAGTCAGCATGTCGTTGTGTCCCTGGGCAAGACACTTCACCCCAAATTGCCCCTGTGGGGGATTTTCCACAGTATGTAAGTCGCTTTTGATAAAAGCGTCTAATAAATTACATGTAATGTACTAAGGAAAAATCCATGGATTAGTTTACTGGGGGCTGCTGTTCTTGAATATGAAAACACTGTTAATAAATGTAGTAAAAATGTTTCCCTCTGAAATGTAGAAACATTGAAGTGCACTTAAAACAGAAGTTTTAGTTTTTTTTTATGACATTAACGATGCAAAGGGAAGGATAATACACTGTTGCAGTTCTCACTGAGCCAGTCAAACCTTGATCATGGAGCACAGCTAATGAACTCGTTTCCACCTTTTCCTCCCATTGGTTGTTATGGAGATGATTGCATGGCCAAGTGCGATGCCAGTTATCTTAACATAGCTCACCTGTGTGTTTGTTCATTCAAAGATATCTAATCTATGCCACCGCTGAAGGCTGGATGTGACTATCTGTCATTGAGATTTCCCACATTCTGTTATTTTAAGACATTATTTTAGGTTCTTTAAAATGTGGAGGTCTCTTAATTGTGTACAAATATTCAAACTTCATGATTGACAGCTTGCACAGAAGTCATGGCATGTGCTAAAAATAGAAAGCGTCCTCTCTGTGGTGTGACTAGGATTGCAAAGGGGCGGAAAGTTTCCATGGGAAGTTCAGCTGGGACATTTTGGAAATATTCAATGCAAAAAAACATGACATTTCAACATTTAGTTTTTAAAACTTTTTTTTTTAAAGTAGAACAGAACAAGTTTTAATTATTTTATTGAACAATTATTTGTTTAATTGAAGAACGAAAACAGGAATGTTGGGTTAAATGTTACTCATCCCCCCCAACCCCACTCACCCTTCTCCCTCCAAAAAGTCCCATTTAAACATGCAAATCTTCCTTCAAGCAATCCTCTGCATTTTTTACCCTTTCAGTCGATGGGCTCTTCCTGGGCCTAATCAACATCCAACTCTGAGTCTTCCTCTTCCGTGTCACTGTCCAGCCTTGTTGAGGATGGCTCTGTGTCCGGCCTGTTGCGAACCTTTGTTTGGTCTCAATAGCCATGCAGTAAGCAGTGCGCTATGGCCTGGATATTCAAGTGTACTTGAATGGCATCTGTTTGTTTTAGTCAAGATTATGCTAAAATATACTTTCCCCAACTATATTTAAGTTCCCTATGAAGAGCCAACCTTCAATTTAGAAAATTCCCAGTTTATTCCCATAAATTCCCGTTAATTCCCGTGGAAAGTTTTCATCTTTGAAAATTCCCGTAATTTTGCAACCCTAGGTGTGACTGTCTTATACATCCTGCTTTCTTTCTTTTTTTAAACCCACATGTCAGCAATATGGTGCTTTAGTCGTTAAGGAAAAAGAGAACTGTTTCAGTCAGACACTGAAGTTAATGGTATTGGCAATATGACTCCATGAAGTTGCTCTTGGTTTCATATTTAATTTTGACTGTGCTAAAGTCACAAGTTGATGACTGGTTAAAGGAACACTGTGTGGCTGGTTTATCAGTCAACCCTACCTATAAAACACTTGCAGCCTAATGCCAAAATCCCCCTTCATGAAGATTGAAATGCTCAGTTTGGATTGAAAGTGTTTTGTAGAATTATTTAACATGTTTAGGTAGTTTTTGTTTTCCTTTGAATCTGTATTTTTGTTTTCTCTTTTTGTTTTGGCATACCCTTCTTAAATTAAACTGGGTGATAAGGAGGAAGTATGTAGTCCAAATCTTATCTGCGACACCACCAGTTGTGTAAGCATTTCTACAAATGAAGTAGCCTAATGATAACTCTTAATTTCCACTGCATTTAAACTTAAATTATGTTGTTCAAAGCACAGTCAACAGTCTTTAATGTTTCTTCCCATACAGAATTCCCTTAAAAAAATTCCGTTCCATCAGACGTCAGCTGACCGACTCTGGGAAGAGAGCAGAGGAGCTCCTGGCCGACCATCACTCCCTGAAGTACAACTTTGGCTTCCCCGCCAGTAATGCACCCACTCCAGAAACCCTGAAGAACTACTTGGACGTAAGCGTTTTTCTCAAAACCACTGACCTGTGGACCCTTAAGTCTTCCCTTTCCCCTAATGCACTGCTCAAAAGCTGAAAAGCCAAGTGGGGGGTGGTGGGGTGGGGGGCAACAAAGCTCCTGTTGTGTTGTGACGCCTCTGCCTTTTTCCCAGCCCAATGGGAAATTAGACTTTGCCTCTCCAGACCAGTAAATCCTTTGCAAACACAGCTTTTTAAGAAAAGCTGATTCATTCTGCTGTAGACTAATATCAGCTTTTCTGTGAGAAAACTGAATGTGACAGAAGAGGAAATGTTTACCACATGACCACTGACTCAGTTGTTTATCTGTAAGCCTCATAATCAGCTGACTGAACGTTTGTTTGTTTGCTCTCGGTTTTTCTTTACATATGAAACTCCATCAACCTTTCAATACAAGAAAAGGTGAAATGTAAAGGAGTATAATATTCAAGCGATTGTCCATTTTTTATGTTTTACATAAATTAAGTATTTACGATTGTGATTATATCTAGACTGATAATATTTGTTAACAGATATCAGTTTATCTGTTGATGAATAGGTCTGCAGAATATTTAATTTTGACATACTAGAAAAGCCAACAAGTCGGACTTAAGCTATGTAACATTTAAATAAATAATACAGACCTATTTTCAATTCTGCAAAGCAAAATAGTAAATAAATCATTATTTATCATAAAAATATTTCAATACATTTTATTTACTAAATACATATAAAAAAGTGAGAAAACAAAGCTTTCCCTAACGCGATGCAAACCTCGGGAACTCCTGCTGTATATCATCCGGAGTATCGAGGACACTGCTAAAATCAATTGTTTGTACATGTCAAATATAGGCACCACAAATACAATCACCTAAATATAAACTAATCTAATACTATGCATGACTTAATGGTATGGGAAACATCTGTAGCTTGGGCAAATCGGAGTGTAAATCAGATAAATGCGGGTTTAAAATGTATCTCAGAATAAAAGGAAGTGCTTTGAGGGTGGAATGAATTGACAAAACTCCCCCAGGCTGAATGGTTGGGCCCTTTTCAATTTCAGTCACATTTGTCGAGACATCGTGTGTTGAGTCACATTTTAAATTGTGAAACATTAAGTGATTTATTGACACGACTTAGTAGTTATGTAACCTGTGTCCTTCTAACACTTGCTGACACCAACAGCTGCGAGGACTCAGCGAAGGCAAACAAACAGTGTGTCACTGTTAAAGGAGACTAGAGCCTGAACATAACATTAATTTCCCTTTATCTAATTGCTATTTGCCATTTATCAAAACATATCAAATTAACTGAAAATGACCCTAATTCGCTGATAAATGGTTCATGCAATCTCAAGATCAACATACAGCTAATCATGGCTCAGCCGGCCAATTCATTCTGCCTAATTTCAAATTAAGAGCTTGCGGTATTTCTAAATAAGTGTTGGGGTTACTTTTATAAAAGCATATGCCTGCAAACTGCTGTTAAAGAACCACATTTGCTGGGGGTGACTAGGATTATATTTTCCTCATAACATTACAATTATGACATGCTCAGTTTCTCTGCTGTTGGTAGAAATGATGAGTGTTTTGTTATCTTAATCTCTATTATGTAAATTTTAAGATCAGCTCTAGGATTAAGTGTTTAGATGTAGATTTATTTCCTGCTGTGTTTTTTTAAGTTCTTGAAAGCCCACTAAATCTCAAAAGGCTTGTTCTTGATAATCAAATGTTTTCTTTTCCCCCCCCCCTCCAGGCCCAGTATTACGGGGAGATCGGCCTGGGTACCCCCCCTCAGCCCTTCACTGTCGTCTTCGACACGGGTTCCTCCAACCTGTGGGTGCCCTCGATTCACTGCTCCCTCTTGGACATCGCTTGCTGTAAGTCCACCTGTAGTCATCGCAAACACCGTGCTGTGAAGTTACATTTTCTCGGTAAAATGTTGGAACTTTCAATTAAATATCTCTTTTCTTTCTCACAGTGCTTCATCACAAATATAATTCTGGCAAGTCCAGCACATACGTGAAGAACGGCACCGCCTTCGCCATCCAGTATGGAACCGGCAGTCTGTCGGGATACCTCAGTCAGGACACATGCACAGTAAGGTTCTTGCATCAAAGTAAACTTCAGTTTAGATTTCAGTGGAGATTTATGTGACTGACCCGTTCTTTCTCTTCATTTCCTAGATCGGAGACTTGGCAATTGATAGCCAGCTTTTCGGTGAAGCCATCAAGCAGCCCGGGGTTGCCTTCATCGCGGCCAAGTTTGACGGGATCCTCGGCATGGCCTACCCCCGCATCTCTGTGGACGGGGTGGCTCCGGTCTTTGACAACATCATGAGCCAGAAGAAGGTGGAGCAGAACGTCTTCTCCTTCTACCTGAACAGGTGAGGAACTGAAAGGATTCAGCGTGTTGCCACTCTAAAATCCAGACCCTTTGACACTTAATAGGTTATTCTTGTTTCCACTGTTGGCACAAACCAGTCAGTTGCCTGAAATCTTGTCCACTTCATAGTTGTTTGAATTTGCTTGACTGTGTGCATTTTCATTCTTTTTGTTCTCACAACCTGCACTGTTTGCCTCCTTCTGAAATACTAATGACATACGATTGGAAAAACGGGTTTTTTTATTTATTATTTGAAGCTGCCCTTTTGATGTAACAAATATGAAATCTGGGTTACTCTTCCCATGCTGTGTGTGTGTGTGTGTGTGTGTGTGTGTGTGTGTGTGTGTGTGTGTGTGTGTGTGTGTGTGTGTGTGTGTGTGTGTGTGTGTGTGTGTGTGTGTGTGTGTGTTCTGTAGATAGAGATGATGTGCAGATGGATCATTCTCACGACAGGTTTATAAAAGTGTATTAAAAGAAAAAAAAAAGTCTAGTCTTTATCAGAAATGAGTGTTCCAATCTTCTGGTCAGATGTGAGTGGAATAAATATTGAACAGAACCACGGCTGCAAATGAATGCTAATGTTGCGTCAAGTCTTCTGGATGTAGAAACAGGAAGCTGGTAACTTCACTAAATACTTTACTTTATACTGAATTAATTTAGCTGATATACATTTTATTTTAATCTTTAAATATATTTTTATAACACTTGTTTAACAACCATAACACTGACTGATATTTTCTTTAGTTGTTATTGACACAAACAAAACTTCATTCAACTGTGTTGAGATAGCAAGCAAATGGATAGTCAAACTATACCAAACCAAAATATCTGCCTGTCTTTATACTTGGTTAAATGTGAAATCAAACGTTTTTGTTGCCGTCTCTCGTTAGGAACCCCGACACAGAACCCGGCGGAGAGCTACTGCTGGGAGGAACCGACCCCAAATACTACACCGGGGACTTCAACTACGTCAACGTCACCCGCCAGGCCTACTGGCAGATCAGGGTGGACAAGTGAGTCCTCCAGTATTCAGATTCAAAACCAAGAGATGACGATGATCGACTATACTTTCCAACTTTAAGCTTTGAGAAGCATCTTGCAACACAAGAGGAACTAATACTGAAATACTTTGTCAAAATAATTGTTACTTAATCTTCAGTCAGTTGACAGAAAATCTATAGACAACATGCTTCGTAGAGAAGAGTTCTCTTTTTTTTTTGGCCAAGGTACAGTTGAAACGGTGCGTTTTCAGTTTTACATTTTTGGCCATTTAACAATAGATTACTAGATGAGAAGATAATTGTTGCAGCCTCAATGACATGGTCACTTTATTGCATAATTTCCAAACCATGTGGTAACCGTCAGGCTGTGAGTGAGCTCTGATTACTGAGTCATGTGTGTAACAGTATGGCAGTGGGCGACCAGCTGAGTCTGTGTAAGGGGGGCTGCGAGGCCATCGTGGACTCCGGGACGTCTCTGATCACCGGCCCCTCTGTGGAGGTCAAGGCCCTGCAGAAGGCCATCGGGGCCCTTCCACTCATCCAGGGAGAGGTGAGGAACAGACAGAGGTGGAAGATGTACTTTTACTTTAGTAAAAGTAGCAATGCTAAATAGAAAAATGTGTGAAGAAACTTCCTGGAGTGAACTTTTAGCCTTAGACCATTAACATGCACATAAACCTACATGAAGGGAAAACTCCAAAAAGCATAATAACCTGTGATAATAGGTCAATGTTTAATTGTGGTTCCTATTTAGTATTATCTAATTACCTGAATCTGAAAAGTAACTAAAGCTGTCAAATATTTGTATTGAGTATAATATAAATGATTTACTTCCAAAATATTGTGAAGTAGCTTAAAATTACAATAATCAGGTAAAGTATATAGTTTTACTCGATAACATTCCACCAGTGAAAAGTCTTCATTTTGACGCTCTGAATAAGCAAACTTTATTTTTAAAAGATAACATTTTAATGTTTGTATACAAATCTGGGGAAAGAATGCAGTTTGATTACTTTTTTTTTTATATTCCACTTTTGTCTGTTTGTAAAGACAATGAATGCACTGATTGAACAGTCTAATAAACAGTGAATTCTTGTTGTTTCAGTACATGGTGAACTGCGACAAGGTCCCATCGCTGCCCGTCATCAGCTTCACAGTGGGGGGCCAGGTCTACACACTCACCGGAGAGCAGTACATCCTTAAGGTGAGGATGTTGGAATGTTTACAACCAGCAGGGGGGGGGACAGTCAGCTCCTGCCGCAACAAAACAACACTGACTGTGTGTTGCGTCATGATAAACTAAACAAATGCCGCTTTGTTTCACTTGGCAAAGGAGGAGGCTGGTTTGTTGTCCGAGCAGTGGTTGCACACATTTGTCATCAACACATTCTCACATGTATTTTGTATTATGTCTTCATCTTTAACTATATTCTTTCCTTGTAATTGTCCAGGTAACTCAGGCTGGAAAGACGATGTGTCTGAGCGGCTTCATGGGTCTGGACATCCCTGCCCCCGCCGGACCGCTGTGGATTCTGGGAGATGTTTTCATGGGGCAGTACTACACCGTGTTTGATCGAGACGCCAACAGAGTGGGCTTTGCCAAGGCCAAGTAAACGCATCCCGTGCTAGAGCAACACGTTTTTTTTAATTCTGAGTTTTGTGAGACGAAAATCTGATCTGCACACTCTTTCCGTTGCTTTGGATCCAAACCGTGTATAGCAATAGATTTTGCCTAGAGTCTAAATGCACTGATCTGAAATAATTTGTACGATTTTCAGTGTGATACGGATTGGAGGTTTGATATGATGCGTGTACATAATCAGGGATCAGTTGACTGTAATGGTATTTCCCTTTTTAAACATTAAAGTTATCTAATTCTTTTTTTTAAATCAGGGATTTGTTTTTCAAAGAGAACAATTTTTAATTTGCATTTAAGGAGGAACTTGTTCCTCTACTACTGACTTTGAGCTGTACTTGATGTGATTTGGTCTGAATAAACATTTTTTAAAAGAAGCATGGTGTGAAAATGAAGAATAGTCGACCAGTTTTACATTTCACCTCGAGAAGATTATCTGACTCGCAAAAACAATTAAGGTTTTAGGAATGATTTGCTAATCTGGTCAAAAAGAGTTAACGGCGTATCATGTTTGATACCGTAACCTTTTTGTTAGCAATTTGTAGTTGGTATATGTTTCCAGTCAGAATGCTATGCTAAACTAACTGCTTGCTAGCTTTAGCACCATACTGAAAGTACAGATTTAAAGGTTTTATGAATTCTCATATCTAACTCAGCATTCTTCCTTTTTCAGCATAAATGCTAAATATGTACAAGAAAAAAATATTAACTTTCAAGGCAGTCATCTTTCAAACTTTATTATTCCCTCATCACTTTGATGTACAAAATGTCAACAATAGACTCATCCATAAAGGTAGTTATTTTACCTAACATGCTCAATATCAATACAGTTCACATGAAACACAATCCCTCAGCAGTTTAGTACGAGTAGATACATTTTATCTTCACATATTTTTCAATATAAAATCCAGTTTAGTAAAGCCTGTACAAGAAGAGCCTGAAAACATCATCACAGAACCTGACCTGAAAAAACAATTAACACACAAATAAAATAACCACAAGGGAGTGTCAACTATCTGCATTAATTAAAAATCCCAAATACTTCCTCAAATGAATGCAAACACTGCAATAACCCGACCATTACCACTTTCTAATAAGGCACCCATTATAACCGTGATTATAAAGGTTTAATTCATGGTTTATTCAGTTACCAATGTAAAGTAGATCCCTTAGGCTTAGGCAGTCATCACTTGCCCTAAGCTTGCCTATGAACCATTTAATCCATATTATACTTGTATATAATTAATTTGTAAAGTATTCTATTAAGAATTTGAGAATGTTGATAGAACAATTTCTTCAAAACAAAGAGTTGTTCAATGATAACTACAGCACGTAAAAGAAAAAAGTATTAGTGGATACAACAATTATAAAGCTCACAAAACAGGCCAAGAACAACTATTTTTTTTAAGCCTAAACGTCAAACTTCTGTATGTGCTACATTTCCCATCTTACAAAAAAGCAACTCTTATCGTTATTAAAGTTTTTAAAGGTCACCCATTATGCAAAATCCACTTTTTGCATTTCCTTTATACATAAATGTGTCACCTCTGTGTTAAGAGATTCGGAAAGTTACAGGAAAAAAGATTCCTTTTCTTTTTGTCCTGATCTATCTATATAAAAACCTATTGACCAGCTGATCAGATTGTGGCCACTTTGTGATATCACAATGTTTCTTGGGGCTGTGTAACCATTAGCCAATAACCAACCAAGGTAACCATTTTGTTTTTTCAAACCAAACATCTTTGAAAAGGGCGTGGCCAGCAGCAGCTCATTAGCATTTAAAGCTACAGACTCAATGTCGAGGAAGGATTCTCCAGAGCCACTATTTCAAGGATGCTACGTCATCGAGTCCCGCCGAAGTACTGTTCCAATGTCCAGGATGCTTGGAATTCTACCGAGGCCGGCGTCCTTCGTAGTGGGAAATTTCGAGGCTGCACATGTGTATTCTCCGTGATCCCACAATGCTTTGCGCACGGACCAATTTCCAAATCTTTGGCGGAAATCGTGCTCCATTTAAGGCGGGGCCTCGCATATGACGCACACTTGTTAGCCTGTTCCATCATTCTTCGTTTTCCGAGGCTAGGAAGGATTCTTGCCTCGCTTCTAAAGGACCTGACTCGGAGGGACATGTCCTACCAAGGAAGCTTCCTCGACATTGAGAAACAGCCACAATCAGATCTTTTGAAACAGGGATGAAACAGAGAGGTATGAGGCATGATACAATGATCTGTTTGTTATTTCGAACCAAACACTTCAGAGACATGTTTTTTGTATATATATTTGAAACCTATAATATACTGTTGAAAAAGAGTAGGATAGATGACCTTTAAAGATCTCCTATCATGCTATTTTTAGGCATATATTATGGGTCTCAGATATATATACAAATATATAAAAAACATGTTTATGATGTGTTTTGCTCAAAATGCCAAACAGATCATGCATTTTAGACATCCCTCTGTTTCAGCCCTGTTACTAAAGTGCTGAGTCAGTAGCTGCTGCCCCCGCCCCCCCCCTTTTGGAGCACGGCAAGGCAAGCAGTGAGGTCTCCTTTCTGCCTGCAGATACAGCTAAATGCTGCTGTGATTAAACGCCATATCATGTTCCAAATACTTCAAGGATAATTTCTCAAACAGTATGGAGCTCAAATGCTTTTTCTCTTGCGGGTTTACTACAAGGTGAGTTCCTTTTTTTATATCCTGCTTTTTTACACATACTCTCCAGTAGCCTACAGGTTAGCCCTGAGTTCTAGCGATGGTTACTAATGTAAACAAAGACCATATTAATTCCAAAACACATAGCGCATTGTTTCTGATAGTGAAGTTTCTGATAGGGCCGTGGGTGTAAAGCCAGCCTACATTTCCGATAATACATCATATCGGCAGCAAATGTGGATCAGCTCCATTGTACCCCTGTTTTTAGAGATTTGGGTATGGAGGAAAAGAGAGAGGGTTTTATTTTCTGCCACTTTGTGAGATGCCTGATACACCGGGGACACATTTAACAAAATATACATTTTTGCACGATAAGAGACCTTTAAGTCATTCAAAGCAATACATAAAGACTTCAAAATTGGCTTAAAACAATTGTCGTGTAAACATACTGTATGAAGAGGAAACAGTTATTGGATTAATTGAGAAATGAATCCTCAGATAATTTAATTTAATTAAAAGTTAGTTGCTGCCCTTTTAGGAATTTATAAATGTTTTGAAATAAATGGTGCCTTATTAGAAAGTAATCTTACTTATCCATTTACAACATTTCCCTGTAATACAACTTGGATCTTGTTTTAGTAAGTAAGTTTGGCCACAGTCTTTACACAATACTACATAATAAGAACATTGTACTCACCAAATACCTGCAGAGATCTGGGAACAGACTGTTTGTAGCAATGATGCTTTAATTTTAGCCAAGACTACGAGAATAACACCAGAGATGTGTGAAGCTAGACTGAACCTTTAAAAGGAGAAGTGATCTTTATGAGTATTGATCTCATAGTATATTCTGCAATATTGTATACAGACGGATGGTGTATACTATGATACTCAAGGTGGAAAATAATAAATACTTTTTGGATACTTGCATGTATTCTTGGGGTTTTCTGTTATCCAGAGATGTTGGAAGTGTCATGTTGGACTCCTGAGTCCTCCCTGCTGCTGTCTCCAAAAAGTGACACCAACAACAACCAGCTGAGTTTCATCCTCCTTCTGGAGTTTGACCTCTGACCTCTGCTGTCAGCCCTCCTTCTCCTCGCCTCCCTTCTCTTTACCGCGGTCCTTCTCCTCATTGGGCTCTGTGCTCTCGCTCTCCTTCTCCCCCTCAGCCTCTCTCAGCGGGGCAGCCGGATCTCTGACCACCCCCTCCATATCCAGCTCCTCCTCCGTCTCCTCCTCCACCCGGCCCACAGTGTCTGGGATAATCTCCACCTCGATGTCGGAGGAGTCCTCGCTCTGCTTGAACCACACGGTCTTCTGGCCCTCCTTCCTCCTCTGCTTGTTAGCCATGGACCTCATGCCATACTCGTCCCTATCTCCCCTTCCCTTCTTGGACGTCCTCACTGAGGGGCTCCCCTTGGGGAGGTGGTTGCTGCAGACGCCACAGGAGGAGCAGTTGCGGTTCCGTCCCTCCATGACCCGGCCTCGAGCCTGGGGGAAGGTGCTCCGTCTGGGGACCACGTGGTTGGAGCGCTTGCCCCCCCCGCGGCTGGCGTCGCCCTCGGTCTGGAAGCCGTCATTGGTGTACTGCAGGGAGTCCCTGTGGCCGGAGTGCTGATCCGACTTCAGGCAGGGGCCCAGGCACTGTAGGCAGGAGAGAGGCATTAAAACAGCAGGTAATGAAGCATGGAGGATATTCAGGCATTGTTCACTGCTACAGATGCCAGCGTATGTTCATATTTTATGTTTTAACACGGCCCTTCTGTGGATTTCAGCTAATAAATATTCATCAAAGGCACACAGGAGGACAAAGGCAGGATTAAACAGCTGAGTCCACAACTGAAAAACCATCACAGAGTGGAGGTGCCACTGAGAACAAAGGCTTCCACACTGTTTGAAAGTGGCCAAAACAAATTGATAGTTTCAAAGAAAAAATAATATTTTTATTGTAGAACCTACTGTCAATGTAAGGACAATGCAATTACAGTTTCTTCCACTTAAAAATAAACCTTCTTCTTTCCGTTATCGCAGCAATCTTTGATTACATTTTATTTGTATAATTAACATGTATCTATCCAGGAGGTTATGAGACAGAGCATTATAGACAGAGCAATGCTAACTTTTCCCGTGCTTACTGTTTTTATGCTCAGCTAAGCTAAGCTCCACAAAATGTCTCTCTGTAAAAGGCGATTCTGTGTCTAAATACTTCCTTGGTTAAACAATATTTAAGTCACTTGTGTGGAGTAATGAAACAAAAAAAGAGCATTTTGAACTGACTTTGTAAATAAATATTGACAATAGCCTGTAAAATTAAATATTCTTTATAATTCTTAACATAGACATAAGAGAGTAGTATTATGCATCAGTTTTCCATTGAAATGGGAACACTGGGTCAACAAGAACTTATACAAAATGAATAAAGGGCCTAAATACACAACAAATCAATACAATATCCAATAAAACATGCTTTAAAAACATTTTAGATGCTCAAAAAACTATGCGACTGACCTCACATATTTTGTCCATGCTGCCGTTTCCCTTCCACAAGCGGGAAATCAGGAAGCCAATCACGATGAGGCAGAGAACCAGCAGAGCCGCCATCACCAGACCCAGCAGCGCCATGTCGCCCGGACGGTAGCCGACGTTAGAGGGGGACGGGATGGCCACCGCTGAGAAGGGAGAGGGAAGTAAGAATAATCCTCAGAAAACTGTTAAAGTAGGAA